AATAATGATTGAGTAATTTCGATTACGGATTCTTATTCGACAAGTTCTATGAGAATCATTTATTAGATATTATATATCACGGGAAAATGTTAAAATTCGTCAGACAGTGTTGTTAAAGCTAAACTTCAATTTATTACCTTGTCAGTCATTGAGAAATTGGAATTAAAGTACCTGGTTCGAAAGACGGTTCAAAGAGTAGTTTTTCATGTTAGAAAAATCGATATTTTAATTACTCCGTTAGTTTTGGAAATTTTGTACAGCTCTGACAGACGAAAGCAATTGTAAATGAAAAATTAAAGCCACTCCGTTTTTCTGTTTGAGCAAAGAGAACACGCGGGAAGAAAATGTTCGGCAAAGAATATTCTCTGTTGCTGGCGCCTTGGTGAGCTACAAAATATCCTACATAAATGGTTGAAAAATTCGAAGGGGATGAAGATAAATGAGGAGGAAGAATGAACGGCTCTCTTGTGTCGCTGCAAATGAGAACGTGAATTTTAATTACGTACCATGCACGAAAAACAAAATGATTTTCTACAAATGATCCAACGATAGAACACGGTTATGTGCTCGTTTGTCACTACGTACGTTTGCCGTATTATAAAGAATTATTGTTACTCTCGACGATGGGAACGGATACACGGATTTTATAAAACGAGATACGGACACACAGTGAGAGAGAGAATTTTAATGAACATCATGCTACGTCGCCTGATTTTTAGCTGAGGTAAATCAACATGTACAAGAATAATGTTTCTGACTATATTAAATATCGAGTAATTAAATTTGCCAGCTCGGTGCAGCAAATATTTCATTATCTTTGCTTATTCGTATCGAGCTTGATACGTAATAATTTATTTCAAATTAAAACTTTGAACGCATATTTTTATACGAGACATCGAATTTATTGTAAAAATATAACGCTCGAGTTTAGTCCAGGAAAATTATTTTTTCCTTCCCTTCGACGTTGAATATTTCATTATTATCCGCAGATTATTCGAATATTTCTCGTTCCATTCTCATAATTTAATTTGGATCTACATCATGGAAGTGGATGAAAATAAATTTTATTTCTTCCCTATTAATATTTTATTTTCTTCTTTTTATTACCTTTATGCACATGCGGTTTTTCTCTGTTTCTATATCGATATCGTATTACAAAAAGAAATATATATATACATATATATTAGTTTCTCTGAAACAATTTTTCCCTGATTCTCATTCGAGCCAATAGATTTACACGATCTTCCACAAAACGAATTCGTTTCCGTGGGTGAACACATCTAAAAGTTCGAGGATTAAATTAAAATGTCGGAGGTTTGTCGCCAGCGTCATTCTCCACGAAAAACGAATAGAAAACGCATGCTATTTTTCTGACACACATTATCAACTAACATAATTAGGTTAAAACTAACGATAAATTAGAATACTGACGAGTTGCACGCGCAATTAATATACTTTTGTGCCCATGTTTCGTGTACACTACGTACACGCGTTTGTCGACTACGACTAAAATTACAGTTAACACGCGATGTCATTGACACCGACAAATTCATGCGAGTCCTTAAATTTCATCAAGTTCTTCGATCCTATCGTCTCGATGCACACAGCGAGCGCTTGGACTGTGCCGAAACATAGTCTTCGTGGATTTAGCGTGAAAATTCGTTCGATGTAAATTTAGTTGCCTCTGATGTCCACTCGTAAGCGTGATCACTTCGTAAATTACACTATTAGATTATCAACGATCATTAAACTCTATAAACACACCGCGAATGAGCGAAGCTTCAACGATCTAACACGCGAATAATAAATATGATATTTAATAACTATAAGTTTTATCCTTTTCGTCATAAATTAGTATTATAGCAGCTGGTATTGTACAATAGCATCGTGCAATATCCTCCTCCGTAAGTCTTGGTCCAAGATACAAACGTCTACTCTTAAAACGGACAAGAATAATGGTCCACTGAAGAAGCAATTACGTTCCCTAGACGGCAGAGAAAGGTTTTCTCTTAAAAATATACATTGACTTGCATCGAACAAACGGTGGGTTTTTATAATAACGCGCTGCCCTGTTTTTCCGTGTAGACTAGATTCGTTGGAAAATACGCGTTGCATTGCCATCGATGGAACCTGGAACAAAAATTTTTCCAACGTTAGAGAAATTCTGCACGGTATTTAAATTTCACAGCGTTGTACTTAAAGATAAGGCACGAAACTGAGAATGACCGCAATTAATACTAAAACTACCAGTAGAAAAGACTGGTCTCTGGATTTTTCTAAAAGCACGTATCTGCTTTTAGAAAAATAAATGTCGAGATGGAACTGTAATTAATATATTCACTTATCTTCATCGTACTATTAAAATTATTATTATTTATACCCGCTATGTTTAGGCTATTGAAGATCGGTGGCTCTATAGTGTTTCGTAGTGTTAATAAATGGTAGTGCTAATGGTATGCAGTATTTGAAGAAGACATTAATGAGTAATGATAATCAGTTGGAAAGTAAGAGACGTGCAATTAACTTGAATTTAACAACGAAAATACCAAGTTTAATTTCATTTTCCTAATTTTACACGCAAATTTATGTGGGTTTCCTTAATTATGCAAATCTCTCTTATCTCGTGCAGGTTTTAGAACTGTTTTCATATATAATTCCTTGTAATCACACGGTAGAATATCAAACACGCTAGTTCATACTTGTTCGTGAAATATTGTTAAAAGAAGACTTTAGTGGGTATATTTCCATATTTTATTAACATCGCTGGTTAAGCTATACGAGATGGAAAGATAATAAAGGGAAGGTAATACGCGTATATAAAATAACACACAATTTCATTTTTAATTACAGCGAATTCCTGTACAGAATTCGCTTCGCAGAAAACACGTTCCACGTTATAGGAAACAGAGTTATATAAAATTTATGCAAAATTAAACATGTCTCCGAGTTCCAACGCAATACTATAGCTAGGCAAATGTATAAATACTGCGTTTCGAAACAAAAAGCTGAATTTTTTCACCCCTTATACGAATTCGTGTTGCAGAGAAGCGCGTTACACGGGAACCTACAATTGGACGCATCATAAATTCTATAAATATTTAAATGTCTCATATGCGCGTTAAAAATGAAAAATTCCAGATTTTTAAGTTAACGAAAAATCGACTTTCATTATCAACGAACATTCGAATATTCCGTGTGCGAGATCCTGCGAATACTTTTTTCGCGCTTTCCATTGTACGACGTGCATTTTCTATTCACCCTCGTAAATCCACTGCACTATTTACGATTGAATAGACTACGATTTTCAAACATTCCGCTAAAACAAGTCAATCCACGTTCAAACCATCGTAGGAAAAAAGCTTCATATTCGTACACAATGAAAATCGATTTTTCACTCTGACTACCTTCAACCTTTTTTTTAAATACACTGTATATAAACCAATAATAAGTAATAAGTATTTCACAAAGAAATATCTTCCATTCTATCCGATATATTTGTAGGATATTTAATTTTCTAAGAAAAATAGTCATAAAAGTAGTTAGAATGTCAGTTATAGTGAGAGAGTGATAGAGTGTTAATAGAGAGTTCAGTGTTAGAGAAATATTTTTTATTTTACCTGATGTATTCATAGGATATTTAATTTTCCAAGAAAAATAGTCATAAAAATTGTTAGAATGCCAGTTATAGTGAGAGAGTGTTAGAGTGTTAATAGAGAGTTCAGCGTTAGGCGAGTGTTTTGAGAGCCAAAGTTCGAATAGAATTAGAATTAGGTTAGACTCGTATTCAGCGACTTTTTATTCAATTTTATTCTTCCAAATATATCAATTATAATTAATCATCGACTCTGTGTGAATGTATTTCATGCCTTCTCTAACCTCCACCCTCTACATATTTCAAAAAACAATTGTATTTTATTTAAATTAAAATTAGTTAAATGGAATTTCCTTTTCAAACTCATGGATTAGCCAACTCACCTGTTACTCTCCGATATCCGTGTTTAAGTCGCTCTCGTACGCCACTTCTCCCACCTTGATGTTCGAGAAGGTGTTGAGGAACTCCAAGACCACGCCGTTAGTCCATCCGAAGCCTGTCTGCACGTGGTACTCCCCTCCGCCGCCGCCGTGGCCAGGCACGACTGAGTCGTACTGCAATTAAAACGCTAATTACACGGAGTAATCACGCGTTCTTGTTTCTCAAAGCGACCGCCCACACCCTCTAAGTCTGGTAATTAAGTCACGCAGCGATTGACAGAGCTCTTCCTTGTTAACTTTCAACGGGGCTGCTGTCTTAGACGGCCAGGCAATTTTCCTGCAATGTCGATTTTCGACGACAATACACAGCGTCCCGTTTAGCCCTGAATTCCAATCACCCTTCACGATAATCAGTCAATAAAACGAACGAATATACCTTGACAGCGTGTAACGAAATTTAAAGAACTCCGAGATTCGACGACTTCGATTTGGGTCTCTGACGAATTTTTTGAAAATTATCAGGAAAGTGGAAAGAATAGTTATCGACGCGTAGATTGCATTTACAGTGTTGCGTGATTATTTGATAACGTTGAAAGTCGCGTTCGATGAAATTTTGGGAAATTGGGAAATATGGAATGACACAGATTTGGTTACGTGGATTTATATCGATTATACGATTATACCAATATTGATATATTAATCACGCGTGCTGTGTATATTGGTTATGCAAGAAACAATATACAAAACGTGATAAAAGCAACTTTGAACTATGCTTCTGATCAAATTTTGCGTATTTATTAGAGGCAACAGGAGAATGTACTTTTAACTTCGCGAGTAACATTGATATTAATTGAACAATTATTTGGTACAACTAATACGATGAAACGCAAATTGAAATTTACTAAATTTCAAATCAAATTTGGATATTTCAAAGAGAAATATTTAAGAAAGAGAATTATGAGAAAACGAGGATCGAGACTCGCCATTCTGATGTCTCACTCTCTGAAAATAGAAAAATCCCATGATTGCTCGACGATATTTATGCTGCTTGTACCGTCAATATTTGACAAAACGGTAATTAGAGGGATGCGATTTAAATCGTATTAATCACTTGGCCGTGGGATGAATCACGTTTGAAGTTCCTGGGAAAGAAAGGGAAATTTAAGACAGAGCTTCTGGGTTTATAACGAAGGGAGATTGGGAGTTACTTGCGGTGGGTGGCGCTTAAAGATGTATTAAACCTTCTGAATGCTATTTGCATTTCTTTGCTTAAGTTTCAGCCCGTTTACAGGCAAATGAATGCGTTTAATTCGCGAAAGAGTCATTCTAGAGAGGATATAGTAGGATTAAGATGCAAATCTGTTTCTTAAGAACGTGCAGCAGTTTTACTGGGGACACGAGATTATTATCTGAAAATGAACAGCTAGAATGTGTTAATTGTTCCTCTTCTCATTAAACGGTATTAAATTAGCCCTTTTGATGCGGCGCGTTCAGAAATGAATTGCTCTCTGGGCACCTGGGACGTGATAGCGCAAGATCGACCGTGCGGAGAATTATATTCGATTATGTGAAAAAATCTGTGCACGAGAAGCGTATGCTGTTAGCGAGTCGAAAATAAACGATTTAATGTTCATTATTGGCTAGTTAATAACAAATACACGGCGCCTGACAACGCTGTTTGCTCGGAGAAAGTGACTCTGGTTGAGAGCTTACAGGCGCTGTTTGTTTCGAGGCAGTAACTATGGTTGAGTGCTTACAGGCGCTATTCGCAGAGGAAAGGTTAAATAAGCATCCATGTCGTGAAGAAATTTTCAACATTACAATTAAACCTCTGAGGAAAAATTCGAATATTTTCCATTTGATATTCGTATTTTTTTTAGATTATCGTAAGAATTCGAATTTTATTCGACTTCAAGCATTACAAGTAGAATATCAAATGATATCTCATACGATATCCGATAACTCTTCGGGGCACCCTGGGATTAAAAGTGTTTCACCTTTTTGATGCACCGTAATGCATGGTGGGATATTTTTAGCCCCATCTCGAAATATTGCAATAGTTGTATATACATAAGTTTATATTTCGTTTTATTTACGTAAAACAGTTGGTAATACCTTGGACAAATGTTATAAATGTATTTGCCCGTGTTGGCAACGTTCAACGTTTATTGCGACAATCATTTTTCCTGGTTGTATGTTTTTACATTAGGTGATTCCTTTATTAGTAAAAATATACCAATTTTGTTTAATTTAAAGGGCAATAAAATTTCTATGCAACAAGGGTCTATTTTATTATCAGAAATCCTGTGCCCCAAAGAGTTAATTAGTGGTTTTACCTAGTTCAATTAGATTAACGTTCTCCATCATTTCCCCCGATATATCTCGAATGTAATTAAGAATTATTGTCGTCCTGGACACGACTGCAATTATGCAATGGCCTCTCAAATCTTCATTCCCGATTCGGTATGCCTCTAACAAAGAACACATGAACGCGAACGATCGAAGGGAACAGTCTCGCAATTAGAGACGAAATGGCCCTTGAGGCAGCTTATTACGTACTATCACGCCACTCGAAATCGTTATCAAGATAATTCATTAAATCAGAGAACCCTCCAATTTTCAATTAACTCAAACTTTTAAGCTATCGCCCTTCAGAAGTCTTTTAAAAGTCTTCCAAGTTAATTAACTTTAACGAGGTTTAGCAGACTCCGCGGGGACTCTAATCTCTGCTTAAACACCTAACTTTTTCATCGCCTGTGTGAAAAATAGACAACCCTTATCCGCTTGTGATATCACCAGCGAGATATAACCAGTCGCACCGACATTGTCGAAGCTTCGTGTATCGACTATTCTGAATCCTAAATTGTCGAGCGTTCTCTCCTATTTCTGTTGCACCCTATAGCGACAGCAAAGGACACCTCGAGGTGCACTCGACCTTTTCCACGACGCCAATGCACGTTTCAAATTATCGTTGATTTCCCTTCGACACGTAACAGGGGCAGAAACTTTCGCTGAACCGTGTATCAATTTTTCTCCTTCAGTGGTTAATTCTTTCCTCCTTTTGGCTTCGCGATTCGACAATGTCTGTTACATCGAATTACCCAGCGTGGAGAAATCGATATGCATTCGGAGAATTAGAGTCGAGAGAAAAGGGTCCTTTCATCCTGCTCGATATCGATAACGAATAATCCGGATAGCAGGCGTTGCGATCTCGCGTTTGTGTTTGTCATCCGTGTTAATCGGTGATAGTCGGAGGTAATTTATTTTTGTTAATCATCATGGTAAACCCCTGTTGGTAATTCGGGATCGGAAATCGGTGAAATTGGCAAATTTCATACCGTGTATCAATAAATCGTGGAATACCGAAATGAATATTCGACTGAAGATGGAGAAAAATTTTTTAAAAAATATTCAATATTCGTACCTCTTCTTGGAACACGATATATTGAACATCGAACAATTTTTGATAGATTATAAAATAATATGGAGGAATTATGGAATTATTATTGCGTCCCGAACACTGAAACTCTCACGGTGGTAGTTTCATGGGGTTGTAAGGTCCGTTTACGCGGATGTGACAATGTTGCTGGGATGCAGCCTACTATAAATTAATAGATCTAGACCTGGTAAGGATGAATTAAAGAATTTCAATGTGTGACTGAGTTAATCGTCATAGGCCTGTCTTGACTGTCTGGTCGTGATGCTTGTCTCGTTTTCTTAGGATTTTTAAGAGAACTCTCTCGTGACTGCTGTCTCAGTGGTTCTATAAGTTTTGTATGTCTACTGACTGATTGGTGTGAAATGTAACTGGCGTGTGTGTGTCTTCCTATTGGTTGTGAATAATATTGGGGGTGTGTGTTAGCTTCGACGTCTTTCTGTGGTGGTGGAAGTTTAAATAATTTGGGTCCCTATGCCTATCGTCTTAAGGGTGATTTATTGACCCTTGTCAAGGTTCACCCAAGTGGTAACTAGGTGATGACGAGTGTATATGAATCAAGGGATAGTGGCAATAAGGACATAAACAGTCCTCCAATTAACTCGGGACATTCGGTCCTGGGGCTGTAACAGAGGAAAATTTTAATTGCTCTCGATTGATGTATAAAAATATTTTTTAAAAATTGTCCGCGTTTATATTCTTTCTCACAAAACGATTTATTCGATCTTTTTCTTGCGAATGAAAGGTACACCGAAGTTTCCTATCAATTTCACAGGCATTCTTTACCCCACCGTTTCGCTGGAGGCAACAATTTTCAATTTGTTTGCGCGGCGTATGTTTAAATCAATAAAACAGCCACCCTCAGAAAGAAAGTTCTGAAATACAGCGGCCTAAGCCGAGACTATCGTGTCCGACGCGGAAAAAACGCGTGGCGAAAAAACCTACCGATATTTTTCACCGGTAAGCTGCCCGTTGCGAACAAGCTTCATAAATTTTCCTCTGCGTCACGGCATCGCGGTTGAAATGAGGTATGGAAGCTCTATGGTTCTCGTCTATGACGTTTTCTGCGGTCGCCTCGAGTATCTTCCTCGTGATCGTGAGGTATAAAAATGGATCGCGGAAAAAGGGGAAAAGGAGAGCAGGGGAAAAAAGACAGAAGGATTAGAGGGTGGAGGAGAGACAGAAAGAAACGGGGATCGAATGGTTCTGACTGCGTGAAAATTCATAGGTCGGTGAAAAATGACGAGCAGTGATTTATTTCATTTCGAAGCGTAGTCGAACCGTGTGCGTTTTCTTGACAAGGGGCATGCTTTAGCGCGAATTTGTGCATCTATCTTGTAGTCCCTTTCTCGACAGGCAAGGCATACGTCAGTCAGGAAAGTGACGACGCGAGGAAGTTCTCGTTTAGGAGAAGCAAATCTTTGAAATTCGAAAATCCGCTTTGAAATTGCGGAGCAAGATGAATATAATTATTACTTTGCACTTGGTGAAGGATCTGTCGCAAATTGATCGACTCGAGCATCGAAATGAATTTCAAAATAAGAATCTTCTTCCCTTTTGGTTTGTCTTTGATCAGATTAATTTTACGCAGGAATATTAAGATACCTTTATGGGATAAAAATTTTCCGTTCGTTGGTGTATGAGAATTTCTTCGTGTACTTTATAGGGCGGAAAGTTCACCTAAGAGGGACGTAAAATTTTTATCCTTGATGAAAAAGGCAGTGGAATGCATTATTTCGCATCTTCGTACCTGCCTTCATCGGAGACGTATGAACTTTGCAAGTTCAGTAATTGAAAATTTTATCCATTTAAAATTTAAATCGAATAATATTTGTTTAATATTTTCGAAGAGTCTCATTATTTCGTAATATCGATTTTTGGCTCACCTTCTCAAACATATATCCATTTTCCGCGTAACCGAGGTAATTAGAGGCGAGCCATCTGGATGCCAATTCATGGGCGATCTCCATAGCTTCGCTAACTCCTGTCCGGTAGAGACCCATTACGATAAATGATTGTAACGGCGGCCATGCGTTTGGAAAATCCCATTGTTCTCCCGTATGATTTAGCGACGAGGGTGTACCTCCTGTGGGGAAGAAATGAAAACGTGTTTAATTAAACCGGTCTTATTAAGCTTATTTGCTATATATCTAACTGGACCTAATAATCTTTATTTATTACAGCCTTTTCACTTTATTACAATCATCGGGGTGGGAGAGGGGGCTGCAAAGACACCGACAAAGCACACAAAAACACTATATTACCTCATACTAAATACCGAAATGACTATACCATCAATAAAATAATATTAAATTCTCCCTTTTCAAAACGACGCGTACAATCGATATGAAACCACGCGTGGAGGTACGTATACACGAATACAAACAGTCAACAAAGTCGATAAAATCAAAATCGTCCAAAATTCTCTAGAATTCCCGAAGTTGGCGGTATTAAAAGTACCGAAACTTCTGTGGACCATACCGTCGGAAGTGTCAGCGCTATTCCAACGAAACTCGCCCGCAAGAAACTAGAAACGTTCCCCTTGGAAATGGTTTTTGTTTCGTGCCGATACGGCTTGCGGTTCCCGAGATATCGCCTTTTAAAGTGGTCCACGATTTCCAGCGTTTCACTATACCTGTCTCGCTCGCGCACTCGGACCTCTCGCTCCCTCCCGCGACACTGACCTACCTCACGCGCCGCACCTGTGGGGTGGTCAGTGACAGACGGTGAGTCAGCATCTTTTTACTACCACTACGGTCTGACGTGCGTATTTCCAGGAAAAAAATGTAGGTCGCGCCGTTTCCGCGAATTAGGCAGCCATTCAACATCCCTTACGGCTTAAGTGGCTGGCTTTAAAATTTTCTATCTCGGCAACCAATCGAGATATCGACTCGAAACGAGAAGCGAGTCCAAGGACACGCTGTTCCCTGTCACCGGTAATTTTTGCTAAAAGTTTCGCAGGTGTTCTCATCCGGTTTCGGGGCCCGATGTTGGTACCGCAAAGCAGGATAATGGAAGCCGCATAATCAACGTCGTTTAACCACACCGCATCGAACAGTTAGTTTCGGTAATTTCTGTAGTTAAAGTCGGCGTGCAACGCGAACAGTATACAATAACTAGTAGCCATAAATAAATTCCTCGTATGCGTCGATGGGATATGAAGTAGTTGAATTTTATATTTTTGAGACGAGCGTTTCTCAGACCGATCGTTCGTTGAATTTGGATTAAAGAAAGGATCCGCTTGACTGGAAATCGAGTAATGCGCAGAAAATGAGAGAAATTTGTTAGAGAAATGGCAGTAATGTTCGCGTAATGTATGGTATTCCATTGACCGATCGAGCCGACATTTAACGGTGCTCTACGCGTGATAAACGTATCAATCTGCGAGTGATAAACGCTTCCTTTTTCGTAGCACCAAAGGTGCAGAAGCATGTAGGATTTATCTCTTATCGCGATTCCATTCGACTTCATTCTTATAGGAACAACCTTTGACCATGGAATTCATCGAAAGCATCTTCTGAATTTTTCTTCGGCTGCTTTTTACATTCCTTTCGCGCGCAGGAGAGCAGAAAAATTTACCATTCTTCGCCGACAAAGCTGAAATACGCGTTGAGGTCGACAAATCGTTCTGTTTACGGCTTTTAAAGCGTGGCAGGATTTATGCAAATGGGTCCGGTTTTTTAGCTGCCATCACTTACCGAGGAAACTATCTACTTTCTGTAATTTGAGATATTTCACAGCGGACAAGGCGTAACGTTCGCGTTGAAGACGATTGTAACTTTTGGTGTACAGCGGCGTGAGATTCGAAGGATAAAACATATTCCTAGATCTCTCATTTTTCACGTCGTAGTCCAGCCATATTCCGCTCTCTTCGTTCCACAAAACGTTGTCGATGGCCATTTGAAGCTCTCCGGCTATTTTCATATAATACTGGGATTTCTGAAAAATAACAAAAAAAAAAAAACATTTATCTATTCCTTTTTCCTTTATTTCTGTATTTTTTGCACGACACAGTATGCCATTTTCGTTTCAGTTGGAACAAACGAATTTACGAAAAATGAGAGTATCATGGGATTGGATCGTACTATAAAGAAATTTATGGGTTAACTCGAATGAGATCTACGTACATCTAAACCTTTACACAGCTTATCGTTATTTCGATTTGCTCACGTAGCTCCATTTATTTCAAGAAATTGACATAGTTTTTGTAAGAATGATTGGGTTCAATCAAGGGAATAAAGCGAATGAAGCGAAAGAGGCATTAAAGTTGACCTACTCCATTGCGAGCACATTCACACTCGACTCGGGCCGTTTTACAACGATTTTAGATCATTTTCATCGTATCGAGAACCTTTAATCCGGAGAAATTTAATATCAGAATATTTTCCAGTGAAATTATCCGCGACTTTTCCTCCGCAATTATACACCCGTATCTCTCACACGTGTATCTCAATTACCACTTTATTCCACCGAATATTAATACTCTCGTTGCTTAATTTCATACGACGGAAACTAATGTAGCCTAGCAAATCGAATTCGTACGGTGCATTGGTTCATTTCCCCTCGGTCGGTGGAACCGGGATCAAATTTGGAAATTAATTACCAAATTATAACAATCAGTCCCTTCTATCGAGTCACTTGTTAAACGAGCCACTGGCAACGCTCAATCTCACTCTCTAAACCACACCAACATATCGCGACACGTTGTGTACAGCAATTTATGGAGAGAATTTCAGCAAGCTTGGTTTGCCAATGAATGTTGTACAGCTTACCGCATTGTTTCCCAGCAGAGTGTGAAATTCGTTGAGGAGCCGGGCGTTTTGTTGCAGAATCGCATTAAGGTCGACAGGTATAATGTACTGCGTGGAGATGTTCAGTAAACTGAGCATTCCGCTTTTGTTGTTCCCTATGTACCACCTGTTGGAGAAATCCCAGCCACTTTCGGCACCCGCTTTTATATTGTTATAGAAGAAATCCTGCATCTTTTCGGGTAAATTTTGCGCCATAAGATAGTCCTCTCTGTTAAGAAAAATAGCGTATACCGATTAATGTAAAAATATCGCAAAATTTGGTCGATAAATATACCTTGAAATATTTATTTCAAGAGGAACAGCACCGAGGAGGGATTCTTCGATTCAAAATTTAATAAAATCGGGGAATAACATGATTGAAAAAATAACAAGTCAAGAAATTTCAGTGTCGAGGAACCTAGATGGATGGAAGGATCAAGGAATCCTAGAATGTTAGAATTTCGAAGTCCATGGATCCCGGAAACGAAAAATCAAAAATCGATGGATCCAAAGGTTGTTAATAATAATTAAATCTTTCAGATCGAATAATTAACGAATCAAGAAAATCTTTGCGGTCGAATAATTAACGAATCAAGAAAATCTTTGCGGTCGAATAATTAACGAATCAAGAAAATCTTTGAGGTCGAATAATTAAAATTCCTAAATGTTTATTTCCATTGTAACGAACTATTACTCTTCCATGAAATACCAGCGCAAGTTTGGTATAATGATCGCGTCCGATCAAAGAGGAGATAAATGCATAAAATTAACTACCACAAATAGCTTCCGTGTATTATTATCTTCCACAATGAATCACGACAGCGTGAACTAAACTCATCGAAGTTAATCAAGCGAAGGTAGTAGTCGCAAAGTTTCCTCTCTCGTGGAATCAATGCTGAGCTGCACAAGATTGTCGTTACCACGTCCGCGAAATACAAACACGAATTTGGAGAACCCTGAACGCTGGTGGATTCAAAATTTACGACGAAACGTGAATACACCCGTAACTCGCGAATTTCCTACTACTATTTGCATTTGATTATGCCCGCATCGTATTAACGGTTCTAAGGAACTGTGCTCCATAGAACATTCGAATATTTGCATTGGACGAGGTGTAGATCTCAGCTGCAACTTCGAAGCTAGCATTCCGGACGTACGTGCTTTGAATACAATTCGATTTACCACTATGCGGATCCATTTCAAACGTCAATTTGTTCTTACATCGAACGCGAAAAAATGCGACTCGAATAAAATTGACGTTCAGCCAAGTTACACGCACTGATATACCAGTACTTGAAATTCAATTGCGGACAAATTCAATTTTTATCATCGTGGATCTCGTTAACCCGAGTTAAGAGCCACGGGAGCTGTATAAGAGGTACTGCTAAGTAATATAAATTAAATTAAATTCTGGTAAACTAGGAAAATTAAAAAGGAATTAAATTGACCGTGGGAAAGGAATGAAACATAAAATTTGGAAACGATTTAAGATAAAAATTTACTTGAAACTCTCTGGTCGAGGCCTCGTGCTGTGAACGACGTAGTGCCCCATTTTGTATATTTTCCCGTCCTTCTCGACGTCGATCATCTTCTCCCGTTGCCAAAAAGCGAACTCCTTTTCCAAAGTAGATATGATCTTACGCAGGTACTCGTAGTCCCTAGTGATCTCCAAGTACCTCGAGACCTGTCAAACAGATACACAAACGTATTATTTTCAACGTGGTATAATTAATTACAAAAATAAACGAGAAGATTAACAGCGATTTTACGAAATGCATAAAATATTTAGATATCACGAAATTATTTAGTACTATAACTATTATGGAAGGGTTAATCTCTAAGCTGTGGTGAGAAATGATCTAAATAGCGGTATCCCAGGAACATGTACATTATTCCTGCAAACGGTTTCAAGAGATAGATAGAGGGTTGCGAAAGTGAAAATAAGGATCAGCAGGCCCTTTGGGAGAACCCTTGGTGACATATGAAGTCCGTCAATACACGTGATAGCACGGAAGAAGGGCCAGGTAAGGGTTTTCCTTCGGAGACTTTACCGTTGCAAGATTTATTTTCCTGCTCTGACATCGAGTATGCATCGTGAATTGCTTACCCAATAAATTATTATAACTCTTATATCACCTGATATTAATCCATCACTTGTCAAGGAACTTCGTAACGAAACATTGAGGATAAAGAGAATAAAATAATTAATTTTTACGTGGAATATCTCTTTTGTTACTAAAATTAAAAGCTATTTAATCGTAATAAGTGTACCATTGCTGAAATTGTTCGATAAATAATTCAAAAATATTTTCCAATAGGACAGGTATTAATTTTACCGAATTTGACATGGATGCGTTGCTTTGCTGCTCGTATGTGGTCAGCAAATATCGACCAATCCGATGCTCATAAGCCGAAATGCATGTTCAGGAAACCTTCGCGATATTCCTGGTCCCTGTTCAGAACTGCGATATCTTCGAAATAAACAAGCCAGCAGCCTGCAATCCGACTATCTATACCGAAAACACATTAGAGGTCTGCTAGCAATCGAGGATAGGTGCTCGCATCGAACTTTTCGAGTGCGATACTACGGAACAAAAGTTTCGAAACGTATGTGGTGCATCGGCGTAGCCTTGCTTCCTGATTTACTGCCGAAAACGAACTTTTCCATTGCAAAAACAACGTTACGCGAAGTCTCCGAAGTTGAATTACATTATACAACTGGGAGCAGTGAATTCAATTTTCGCCTGCATTACCGATAATTCTGACAACGCGTGGCTTCAAAATTTCCTCGTTCCCATAACCCTTTGCACTCGAAGAATTTTGCGTTACAGAAAAATAGTAAAATGGAAGACTTCCTGCCATAAAGTCGACGACATTTTTAAAACGGTAAATGAGAAATCGTGTGCAAATTAAGACGTAGAATTAATTAATATATCAAATTTAAAATTACCCAACGATGCGTGGAATGTCGAAGTAAATTAATTAATTAATTAATTAATTAATAAGACCGATCTTTAGAATCTCATTAAATTGCGAATGACAGTCAAAGGGTTAATCATGGTCAGTTATCTTTTAGTATACTCCGTACACACGTTCCTTGACAGATTAATATTATTATTATAAATAATAATACACTATTAATATATTATTATAATTATCAACTGACTATTTATGCCGTTGAATTAATAAAAATAGTAAATTTCAGTTATGACCGATTTTCTGGAAAATCAAAGTCATAGAGAGAAAATTTCCGAAACGCGATTCGCGAAAAAATCTCAAGATTGCTCTTTGATTTGTCAAAGAACTTTTGCAACCACCGGTGTACACTCACGGAAACTCTCCACAGCGTTTCCACATCTTTGCGAGCTGCAGGAAATGTATTTCCTCCGTGCGAGGGTAGAATTCAACATGGCTACGGTTTCCGCGGCTCTTTCTGGTACCCTAGTTTATTCAAACAAGCGCGCCGACAGTGATTCAAAATTTCTCGACTTATGCTGCTAACCATCGAGCACATTCCTTTCCCCCCCTCTCTCATTTCGTTAAAAGGCCACATTCATTTGCCACGGAAATGCAAATCCTTGGACTTACGTGGTACAGGCACTCTTCTAGCTAAAGGCTACCAACGTAAGCCAATCCTCTTCCTCCATTTTCCTTATTTTCTCATTACCATGATATTCCTTGTATAGCTCACCCTTTAGATCCTCTTTCATAGCGTGTATATTAAAGAAGGATATAATCGCGAAGCTAAGTGACCAAGACCACGATATTAAACGCGAAATTTTTAATCAAAAGTGTCAAAACCATGATCTCGAGCTTGGCAAATTCGTCGTTAATGCCTGCACGTTGACGCGAGTCACGAAGACGATAATTTTACCCACCAGAAACGAGACACCGCGATTTTATCACGCGAATACCATCGAGCACTTGCCACCCTAGTCGCAAAACAGCGAGCCCCTTGCTTCCAAACGATCTCTTAGATCCGCGTTGAACGTTCTTGTCTAAAGCAGCCGCGTTTCAACAACCCCGGTTATATCGATTTCGCTCTTAAATTACAGACATTTTCCGACTATTGAGTTCCCCAACTCAATTGCGTGGAAATCTTCCATGGCTTCGGTTCCCGGCACGCCGGAGAAAGGGAAATGCGAAAACTTTTGCCCGTGGTTTCGCTCGGTCGCCGAGTTCGGTTCGAGCTTAAAATTCTTCCCACCCCGGACCACTTCTCCGGTCCCATTTCCTCAGCAACCAAGGCTTCCACTGGTCGGAACAACCACCGCGGGTAGCTATCGTTCCCAGGGTAGATTTCGATGGACAGGCTATTATCCGTCGCGGTCAAGTGACTCGAAGCTTCATGGCCCGCACGCGTCTCAACGGAGCCGAGGACTGACGCGCGATGGACCGAGTTGTAATTGACGTTTGCTCGACATTTTACTCGCCGATATTTCATTTGCAATTTTCCTTGGTCAATTCGATCAGTCGCGGTGTAACTTGCCTTGGCTGGTGGTTCGTAATTACAGGGCAGAAAGAACGGGATTGCAGCGCCAGGAGGGTGTAAATTGATTTTCCAGAACGAATTTCCGGTCATTTTATAGAGTTTAATTGATTTTTGGCTGGATTGATTTGTGGTTGGTGGGTGGGGTGGAAATCAATAAGGGTTAACCCATTGACTGCCACGCTGAAATCACATGTTTCCCACAGGATGTCACGGGAGTGCACTAAATGCAAGATTTGTTTTAATATTTTATTTATTGATGTTCTGATAAAAATTTTTAATTATTCAATGGAGCAGCTTTTATTTCAAAGTATCTTCTAATTACCGGTTATATTCAAAATGCATTAACTGTCAATTTTCATTAAATTGTAAGTAATTCAAGCACTCCGGATACCAATGACTATCGTAGCGTCACAGGAGAAACCGTGGCCTGTCATATATGACCAACGTGGCAGTCAAAGTATTAACAGACAGAAAAGGGAAAGAATAGGAAGAAATCTTCCACGATCGTGCAAATTTTGATCATGCTCCAACGTGATTATTCTAATAAAATTTTCCAATAAAAGATTCGAAAAATATCTTATTAGCGGTCACTAGTGACCACTGTGGCCTTGGTAACAGTTGACAGCGACAGTTTATAACTGTCAATTTTCATTAAATTTTTACAATTCTAGTTTTACAAGTGCTTCAAGCGCTCCAGTTACCAATGACCACCGTGGCGTCACAGGAGAAACCGTATATGGCCGTATATGGTCATATAACGTGGCAGTCAAAGTGTTAAGGAATTTTACCACGTAGTCGTCGGGACGATGGTTAAGGGAGCCAATCTGTGGTTCTTTCGAAGCAAACTCAGAAGAGAGTTATGTCCTGTGGATGTGAAACGAGTTTAAAGTCAATATGAAAAGGCGTGACGTACCATGAGGTGTAAGAGGGGTGGCTGGCTCCTCATAAGGTAATAAATTCTACCACCGTTGGGTATGAACCCATATTTCTCCACCATGTACAAGAAATTATCTATTATTCCCTTGGCAGTTTGATACATGTCGGATAACAGCAGCCCTTCAATCACCCAGTAACTGTCCCAGTAGTAAAACTCTGTTGGGAGAAAGCAAATTTTCAAACATCCTCTATGTCCAGAGATTTATGTTCGGAAAAGTTAGAATACGTAGAAGTCGAATCGAGTAAATCTTTAGATCGAATTTACTAGTTTTCGCTTCCATCAGTTGATGCCCTGGATTTATGGTTTGTTTCAGAACGATCGTAAAAATTATTCCTTTCCTACAATCTTTCCATATTTGCGCGAATAATAAATTTGAATTAACTACAGCGATTAATTAGTTATTATCTTGTTATGTTTAACTGATTGTCTCAACAGTAACGTTTTAATTATTTAATCTAGAATGTTGGCAGATTCCCAATTGAATTTAGTTTCAAGTATTTCATTACACTACTCACTGCTAGATTGTAGCATATATTTTACGTCAACTTTAGTTTATTTATTCTTTCATTTTATTTATGGCTGACTATCCATCTCCGTGATAAACTGGCCACGCCTAAATATTTTCTGCCATTAGTCAATCCGAGCATCGTGTATCAGTGATTTATTACTAACACATTCATAACCAGCAGCGTTTCACCTACATTTCCGATCGAGCCAATTGGATTCTACATTAAACATGAAATGTAATAATGCGAAATACGTAACCGAATTCGTAGTATTGGACTTTAGCAATATTAGAACATTATATATATCGTATTCCGAAATTAAAAACGTAATCTAACAAATCCCAATAATTTCATATCGACAGTAAGACGATAAATATATTTCTTACCCATATCACCGGTTCAAAAAATTAATATAAAAACTTGAAATCACTGAATATTAACAATTAGAAAATGTAGTATCGAAATTTTGAATTACAGGATATTAAAATAAAATAATAACGAATAATTTCGTTTGTGTGACTAGATATCGAATAAACAAATTAACGCGAGCAAAATAATTTTTAAAATTGATTTACCTTTGAATCGACCACCAGGGATGATGAATCCATTATTCACGTAGATCAGACTATGTCTTTCCGGGTACTTAGCCACCTCTGGGCTAGCCTTCCTCGCCAGATCCTTCCAAATTTCGTTCAAATGCTTTGCCCACTCGCGATACTTGGTTTCCTGGATGCGTTTCAAGATCGAAGGATTCTCCGTCCAATCTGGCAGAGTCCAGTCTATCAGCTCGCTCGACGATGCGAAATTATCATTAACATACTGACGAATCTGGCTCCGGCTCGGTTTGTTGTCCGTTTCATTCATCAATCTGTAGAAACTGTGCGGGAACAGAAGCGATCGTCTGGTTAATCAATCACGGTCCATAAAACAACGAGACAGCAAGGAAATCTAACTGGAAAATCAACTACGCTGTCATTGACGTTAAGTACTCTTTTGCAAGCATATTTGCTGAGCGATATATAATATATCATCGTCGCGTGCGTTCGTAATAAACAATTGGATATCGAATTTCAGAGAATTGATTTTAGGTGTACGTGAGATTTGAACCCCGAAGAAAATCGCGTATACTTTGGCAAAAATAAACAGACGTTCGTGAGAAACTCGCGTGACAGAAGAAGGCAAATAATAACCAGTTCGACCATGCATATTTGTTTTCCTTCACCGATTTGTCTCGGTCCACCGATGATAGTTGAATCGATCTTCGATAATACGATATTTCACGAAAAGCTAGGTTTAACGAACAATACGTGAAGCAAGCAATGGAAAAATAATTCCAGTAAACTATACGATAAGATGGAAAATTTATTAAATAATCTAATACTCTTAGTACTGTATTACTGTACTGAAGTACAGTACCGAAGTACCATTAAGATAAGAAACAATTTTTCACGAAGAGCTAGGATTAATGAAAAATACGTGAAGCAAGCAATGGAAAAATAATTCCAATAAGCTATACGACAAGAGGCAAAATTTATCGAATACTCTAATACTGTTCAATTCGAAGTACCATTAAGATAAGAATAATAAGTCATGCACGTAATATTCCACCGATTTCCTTTTCCAGGCGCTCGAACGATCATTTCCGTCGATCGTTAACGTTCAATTTACGTGAATCTTAACATTTTTCTCGAATTCGCTTTACAATACCCATAAAACGCAGAAGAATTCTGCGTTTCGTTCGAGAACTGTCGGTCGTACCCTTTAAAGGAGACATTCACCGAAACAATACTCGTTTCGTAGGAACGGGTGTCAGTGAAGATCAAATTGGAATTGGCGAAAGGAGAGGAAAAATATGGCGTCTTTTTTCGCGTTGCGAACCTCGTTGCACCATCTGACATTTATTCGGCCGCAACCGCGATCGTTATTTACGAGCGATGGTTATCGAGAGATCGAATCGGGTTGTACTCGACGATAGGGCAAGTTCACAGAGTAATCCAGTGGGATGGAGGTGGACGAAAGTGAATGTAGCCAGGGCGTCGTAAACCGGATATAGTAAACGTCCCGCTAAACCGAGTGATTTAGTACGAGGTCAATTTAAAAACGCTCCTGGTTACCGTGATTACGCCTTTGAGATTATCGTAAATCATGGAAGGCGAGTACACGGGTGGAAAATCGATGAAGGATACTAACTTCTTTTTCCTTCCAAATGGAAAAGAAAAAAGGGAATAAAAGCGCGCTGCAATATTATTTTCGATTCGTTAAAATGCTTTCAATTTATTATAAATTAAAAATGGTAAAAATGTGGATTATTAAAAAATGTTTTAAATTGTAACCTATATAGCAAGACTCGAAAATTGATATAATTTTCTGAAGATTGTCCTTAGAAAAGTGAAGTGTAGCTACAAGCTGCACGGTGAATTTCAAATATTTGCAATTTATGAGAAATTATGGAAATATTCAGTGGATGGAATCTATGCTCTAATTATATGAGATGCGCTTAAAGATAATTAAATTAAGAACTAGCTAGTTGTAAGGTAGTTAAAAGTTTGGCAGCTGTTGTTCCATGGGAGATAGTCATGTATCATATGATACAACAATTAGAATTCGAAAACTATTATAATGTTGGCTCTAATTCTCGAAACAGTTTCAAAGCTATATTATATACTATAATAGCCATAAAGAACTAAATTCAGTAGCTCTGGTAATATCAATATTACTTTCTTTCCTTCCTTATTCCCATCTTTTTCGTACATCCCTTTAAAAATATGATTCATCAGATTGTCAACGAATAGAGATAATTTCTACAATTAAAAAAGATTCTTTTTCAAACGAACGAAAGAAAGTGTTAAAAGGATTAATAACTGTACTTACTTGGACAGAGTCACCTCGGGATCGTTTATCTGATGAAGATCGACGAACGACTTGCTGTCAGGGAAGATCTCAGCGAGCTGCACCGTTTTCAGTAGCTCTCCTGTGCAGTAGATTTCGCTGAAAAATAAATATCGATACACCTGTGAATTCGGAAATAATAAATACAGAAATCCAAAAAATAATAATTCCATCGATCAAAAAACATCGTAAAGTGTCTATGACATACCAGAAAATTTTGGTCAGACTCGAAATTGCGATGGCATAATCGGAAGTACATATCATGCTATAATGCGTTATAGTATGTCTGCGTTACAGTAGACAACGGTAGGAATCAATAGCCTGGTTGCGTTATTCAACCATTTCCTAAGCGGATTACTCTGTGATCCGATTTTGGTTGTATTGAAAGGTCGTTTGACAAGGAATAAACCGATGCCAAGTTCGTTATAAAATTCTACCCAGATTGCATCCGGCTACAAATGTGCGCGGTTCATCGAACATTTGTACCGCGATTAGCGGCCGAGAGTTATATCGACACAGCAAAGATCATCGTGGTGAAACGCGATAAAACTACTTCTATTAATCCACGTTATCTCGGTGAAACAAAAAATTCAATATAAATCCAAACACAGAGACGACGAGACAGCGATAGAAGGCACTCACTGTGAAAGGCCGAGCAAACACGAGGAATAAAAATTACAGCGATCCACTCACATCCTCTGAACCAAACCAATTTCCGTCTGCTGTACCAAACGTTTCAAGGCTCTCTGTTTGCTATTATTTTTGCAAAACGCCCCGCCATCGACAGCAACAAATATCTTCTGGTAAACAGCATTCGGCACACAGATGACACGGTGTAGAAATTCGCGCGGATGTTGTCACGGCAAGCAGGAAATTTACCGTCTATGCAGACTTGGCACACGGTTGACAGCAGTTAAAGAAATGGAGCCGAAACGGCGCCTACGTACATGTGTACCAAACGAAAGGGAATTACCGAGAAGCCAGTGCCAAAATCGATCATTCAGACGAACAGCTGGCAATGCTTTTGGTCCATGAATCTACGCGACCATTCGTCCCGTTATTGCCCCAATTAGGCGCTTGGAAACATGTTTTTACCGAATATTCGATTCCACTTTTCACAACTGATGGAATAGCTCGAAGATTCGACAGACGAATCTCTGGACTTGGGAAATATAGAGAAGTATAGTTTTTGACATCTTCGTTCCACACGTTCGCGTAATCTATCGATCAGTAACCTTATCACGGCTGCCTTATCACGCGACGTTTAAAGAGGCAAGCCTCAGGAATTGTGTTCGCGTATCGTTGCTGCGAGTGACTTTTATCTCTTTGTATCGAATCACTGTATCGGACGAGGTCGCGCGACCAGAGGTTCATTGAATTTCAGTGAGCACGTATAGGAAGACAGAATCGCGTGGCAATTTATTCCTGCGAATTATTCCGCGAACATCCCCTGGAATAAAACGATAAGGACGTGAAAATAAACAGGCACTGGATCGTTCCACTTTCTGCATGATCTGAAAGGATTAAAACGCCCGTTCGTCTGTGTGGTGACATGTCGCGACGAATGTTTGGAGAATTTACGTCCCTTACACCGGTCAGAATACCATTCATTCGTGAAATATAATCTACGTTTATTAAATGAAAGAATAATATTTTGCTACTGGGTTTTACATTTATTATAACATATAAATATTTCAATCCAAATTTGACCCCCTATGGAACCATGTTTCAAAATCTCCTTGTAAAAGATAAAAAAGTAATCTAGATGGAGTTGCAAAATGGATACGTATTTTTTAATATTAAATTCGTAATATAAAAACCAGAGATCAATGAAAATGGAAATGTCGAATTTATGAGGGACTAGCATTCGTCAATAGGAGATCCAATTTTCATGGATCCAGCACACACACTCACTGACGTCGCCATATCTTTACTACGTTCAAATAAATTAATCCAGAATTGTTGACTTTTATTTTCGGTGAACCTAAGAAGAAATTTGATTCATCAAAACAGACTTCGTTCTTTGTGTCGTTACGTCTAGCTTCTCCAAAAGTGTATACGCTTCTTCTTTATTATTTAGCCAGACCAAGGACAATCAACTCAAAAATTCACCCGCTATTCCCAAGTTTCTCGTATTTTCTACTTACTTTGATATTTCTTTAAAAAAAGAAGAAAGGCAAAACGACCTAAAGAATCCTCTGCTGAAAAATCTGCTCGCAAAATCCCCTGATTTCCCCTGGCATTATCGTTTCTCGTTGAGAAAAAAAGAAGAGAAAATAGGAGACCAAGTGTCCTCCCCTCGCAGCCTTCGAATTCCTATTGTCTTCACTGGTCTTCCATGCATTCCTTGTTCTCTATTCCCGCACGGATGAAAAGAGGCAACGATGATATCGTAACTACCAGCGGTCGTCGCACCCCAGATTTCATACTCGCCACCACGAGCCAAAAAAGGGGTGGAAAAGGGGAGAAGAAGAAGAAGAAAAAAATTACGAGCCTGTCGAGGTTGTCGCCCTTCGTCACCCTGTCACAGTTTCCCTTTCTCCCGGATGTACACGAGCGTTTTATCTTCGGTTTGCTCAGGGAAAGCTATCGGAAGTTCGCGTTTGATTGATGGAATCTTGCTGCAGGAGCTGACAAAACTTCTAACGGATGGACCACGTATTTTTCACACTCCGACAGACGCGTGTTCGCCTTCGAATAGATGCGTGTCCACGCATGTTTAGACGCGATCTCGAAGGGAAATTTATCCGGAGAAATTTGGTGCAGATTCGAGGGATGAAACGAAATCCTTTTAAGAAAATTCGAAAAATTTCATATTATTTTTCTTGATTAGAAACAGTGAGATATCAGGGAATTTAATCGAGGATCTATCGGTTCCTCTGAGTAATTAATTGAAAAAAATGTTATGAAGAATGTCAAAGTTAACAATTTTTTGAATACACAAATGCGAGGGGGTGTCACCGTTTCGATTTTTCGTTACGATTTTGGGAATATCGTATTAATAGTTGGAAGCTTGGTCCCCAGGGAAATGTGAGAAAGAATTGTGGGATGTAGATGTAGACGTAAAGAAGGTAAAAAAGTATGAGAATATGGAAGATATTCGAAGAAAAGCACGACGATAAAATAAATCAGGAACTCTCCATTTCGGGGTGGTTGCCTCTCTATAGACCGGCCACCTTTCCAATCGTTGCGAGGATATTTCGAGTAAAGCAAACCGTTTCACTTTGGTCGTGAATTTTTTTACTGGCTACCTGCTTCTTTTGCTATCGTTTTATCGTTCGACCGGTAGCTCCGTCGAACTTGTACGAGAAAGTTTAGCAAAGGAACGGCCGCTCGTCTGGAATTGAAATTTCTTTAGAATCCGAGTGTAAAAAGCCCTATACACGTTCCAGGATCTTAGAATATCCGTTAATAGTACATGCGTGTAAATACAAATTTTGTGTTATTGTCGTATTATATTCCTAATATTTATATATTTAATTATTTACTATCTATATATATTTAATTCTATCTACATATAATATTATATTTAACCCCTTCGCTATGGCGAGCGTCGTCAAGGAGTCTCTTCTATAGAATGAAGCGACGTGTCAAAGATGGAAGCATTACGATTGTGCAGTCTTTGGCATTCGGTCTTTTGACGCAAATCTTTCGAAGAAAATAAGAAAAGCAAAAACTGACCATCGCAATAGAGCTTGCAATTCTTTGCGAAGAGAGCTACGAGGAACGATAGCACTTGTCTTAATTTCTTCCACAATTTTTCTGGCCGGTGACTATAGTCACCCGTAGTAGCGAAAGGGTTAATACTATAAAGAAGAGGAAAGAATACAGAGGAGAGAGAGAGGGAAGACAATTTACTGACAGATGGGTGCAAAAATTATAATTATTTGTAAGTTAAACTATGGAGGATGTGTGAGTGTGTAGAAATATTTTTGTAAATATTATTTTTGTACTAATATTTTTGTTAATTTTATAAAGAAGAGGGAAGAATAGAAAGAAAAGAAAGAGGGGTGACAATTTACTGACAGTTGAATGTAAGAATTATAATTATTTGTAAGTTAAGCTATGGAGGATGTGTGAGTGTGAAGAAATATTTCTGTAAACCAATTCTATTTTTGGGCCTAAGGGTTGAAATTAATAAAATATATATATTTAATATTATATTCCATATAATGCTATTTATATTTCTACTCTACTATATTTCTAGTGTTTATATTACTATCTAAGCTATTGACAAACTACTCTAAAAATTTGTGAAAATTCGCAAGAGTCTGTAGGATTTTAGGTAAAACGATCGCGAACAGGTTCCATCGGATAAGAATCGAGCGTCATCACGGAAACTTATTCCTCATTATCATACTTCTACAGCCGTCGTCTTCTTCCTCCTGTTTCCCTGGTGATAATATGTCGAGGGTCCCCTAAGTTGATTAAGGTTATTTCGTGAAATCGACATCAACCGACGCTCGAAAGCGGGAGAAGATAGCGGATCCTGCTTCAAAAGGTTCCTCGAGGGGTTCCTTCAATCGACTTAATCAACACTCCTCTTTCAGTAGTGCCATTTTATCTAGATCTATGGAGTATAATCCAGGATAAATTGTAGCTTGAAATAGAGCATGTAGCGTGCTTGGAAACGAGGTATTGGGACGTTCGATCACTTAAATCATTGGAACCGCGTGAAACGGATTAATCAAAAGTAAAATTGTTTCATGGTACCGTTTTCACGTATTTCGAGCAAATAAATTATCAAGAGGATCGATACGTTGCTGGGTATAATTCTTTTCATCGCATCTACTTTACGATTGGATATTTTACCGAGTAATGAAAATAAGAGATGATTTAATCGAGTTAAGGTATTTAGGAATATTTCGACTCAATCGTGGTTTTCTTAATACAAGTTTCCTAATTTCGAGAAAAGTTATTTAGTGCACGATCTCGGTGTAACTGTATGCCACAAGTTGCTTTTTTCAGAAATTAGAAAAGTTTTCAGGAAGAAGAGAAACTGGATGATACAAATTTTGAATTTCCACTGAATATTTTAGCGAATAAAAATTAAGTGCTCCTAAATATTTTGAAATTTTTTAAAAGATGTTTTCTACAAT